GCGTTCTTGCTCATTTTGCCTCCGAGATATGAGCAAAAACGGGACGGAAAACATGAAATTTTGGCATAATCTTGAACCTAAGTGTTTAATATTCAAATTTTGCTTTCTGGGTCCAAACTACTCGAATTTCCTCACTCATGTTGTTACGACTAAATCGACTAATCAATTCTCTATCCAAGGATGCCAAAACGAATTCTGTGGCTCGAATGGTTCTTGAGAAACTTTGAAAAAAGCAGCGTCATGTTCAAGTGGATTTTGCAACTCAAAAAAAAATCAAGCAAATCTAAAACTTCTCGAATTCAGGCATTTTTTGAGAAAACTGCCAACATTTCCTTATCGATGGTTCACTTTCTAAAAAGACCATTTATTTCTGTCTAGAATGATGTACACATAAGCGTTCTTGCTCATTTTGCCTCCGAGAAATCAGCAAAAACGGGCCGGAAAACATGAAATTTTGGCATAATCTTGAACCTAAGTGTGTGATATTCAAATTTCGCTTCCTGGGTGAAAACTACTCGAATTTCCTCACTCACGTTGTTACGACTGAATCGACTTTTCAATTCTCTATCCAACAATGCCAAAACGAATTCTCTGGCTCGAATGGTTCTTGAGAAACTTCGAATAAATGCCATTTAGTTATCTCTGGAATGATGTAAAAACGAGCGTTCATGCTCATTTTGCTTCCGAGAAACATGCAAAACGGGACGGAAAACATGAAATTTCGTAACAATCTTGCGCCACCCTTGCACAAAACGACGATCATTTTTCTAATTTCATAGATAACAGAAGACTGTATTTTTTCTTCAGAAGACTGGATACGGCCCTGGTTGCCCGTATCTTCACAGAAACGATCTTCGGTTCACATCGCTGAGCCAATTGGGCAACAAGCCCACATTTCATTTAACTAGATAATTGCTTGATTGATCATAATGATCTGAGGTGGGCCCTTGGCCGCGTTTACCTAAATCCGCTAAAACCTTAAATCAACACCGATACATCATCGCTTTTACCAATTGATGCAACTGCGAAGAAGAAGAAAGCGAAATCGAGCCGGCTTTAGCATAAAACGCCTTTCATTTTCATCGGCTATTGCCACATTTAACCACTTTTCCCGTGTTGTTTTTAGAAGATTAAACACTGAGTATTTGCCGAAAACTGCCAAATTTCCTCCCCAGCACCCTCCTATTCTGTGCAAGTGTGGGAAAAACGCCCGGCTTTCCGGGCAGCGGAGCAGAGCATTCGCACCCCCATTCCTTAATTCTGAAGATAGCAAAAACACATTTTGGCCCAAAAAATCACTAGACAACAACGCATTTATCTGAAAAATTCAGCGCCTCGCCGCTGAAGATCTTGCAGCGGCTGCACCCAGAGAAAGAGGGGTTCCACTTGTCTTCGGCTTTGGAAGGTGCACGTAAATAGCCAGAGGAACCTTCTGGTCACTTTAGTATTGTCGCGTTGATTTGGCCAATAAGATGGCGCGAGTGCGGAAGTCGGCTTTTTTTCTACTGTGCACATCGACAGTTTTGGGGGTTGTTGGGGCACAGTTTTTCAATGGAGCGCTACAACAGCCGCAGGTAAGAATCAGCCAATCAAGCCGCGTTTTTCGGCGACACTCTGTATATATTGAAACTCGTATATCGTGGAAACGCGACTCTTCCTGACGTTTCGCCAGCACTGATGACTTGCATCTTCAGAGATGTGTTTGCTTTGGGCCCAAAACCTCTGAACCAGATGCGACAGTAAATCGGAACCTGCAGTATTAATAGAGCAGATTTTCTTCTATTGAGTTGTGCTGAAAAAACTCTTTTAGATAAATACGGTTTTGACCACAACTGAACTTTCAAGCCTCAAATTTAAAAAATTGCCGAAAAGTGAGGAAAAGTCCGACTAGAGCGATACTTGCAGAAAAAATAGCCCAAAGTTTTCTCTATTGACTGATGCTTAAAACAACCCACCGGCTAAACCCCTTTTTGAGTGACGAATTTTTGAAAATCTCTTGCAAATTTCCCTAAAGCGAAACTTATATTTAGCTTGAAACTTAAAAAAATCCCGAAAAATTGCGAAAAGTGATATTAAATCGACATTCGCTTCTTTAATAGACCAGAGCTTCCTCTATTACGCGATACCAAACGGAGCTCTCTAGTTAGTCCCACTTTTTCGTAACGTATTTTTGAAAAATGTCTTCCCATAGTGAAGAATCCCAAACTGCAATTTCAACTCAAACAGAAAAAATCCCCAGATTTTTGGAAATACGAAACGAAATCGGCACACGGGATGACTAAAGCAACGATTCTTTGATTGAGGGCTACTAAAAAGAAGGCTTAAAATAAATAAGATTTTTAGTGACGAATTTTAAAAAAAATGTTGCAAAAAGCCCTGGAAGCCAAACTGCATTTTCAAGCCCTACACTGAACGAAATCTCAAAAATTGAGGAAAAGTGAGAGTAATCTGCGACTTCCAGGCTGAATAGAGGACAGTTTCCTCTATTGAACGGTACAAAAGTGACTGACTCAAAACGTCCTGGTTTCGAATGACAATGTTTTTTTAAATCCCATCTAACGATGCAGCAACTCAGCGTTTCCCGACAAATTTTTAAAAATCGCCTAAACTTGAGAAAAAGAGACCCAAAGGCAATAATTGCAGAATGAACAGAGCAAAATCTCTTCTGTGGAACGACCCTAAAAGCCGGCTTTCAGCTAATAAGAATTTTGAGAAATATTTTTTTCCAAAACATCTACCAAATCTCATGGATTTGGATGAATCTCAGTCCAAAGTGGCCTTCAAACTCAAATTTGCGGGCTTTAAGCGAATGAAACCCCCTGATGTGTGGAGCAAGTCGCTTCTGGTGCAAACACACCTCTGAAGATGGTAGCTACTCGTGGGTGCGAAACATCGGGCCGAAAAGCCCGGCTTCAAGCAATAACAGCAAAAGCCTGAAGACATCTAAGATCAATTGGATTAAAATACATGCGGTGAATTGTTGTAGGTATATTTCGGCAATTGGTTCTAGTTATTGCCAGTTGCTTGACAAGAACGAATCAATTTTGCGCAATTTATCGGCCTATAATCCGAAATCTGTAATTTTACGGCTTTTAAAGGGAAACTTGGTGGCTGAACAATGCGCATACATCGGACTTTGGCCGAAGTCCGATCACAGAAATAACACAATTAGGCAAATTACCACATTATACGGTGCTTGCACTCACGGTGGCTAATTGAGAAAAAAATGCATTATCAAATGTCTGCATAAATTATAAAGAGGTCAGCACGGTTGCAGCCTCACGAATCTTGGAAGGTCGCTTTCTTAGGAAATCCTGTGAATAAGGCCTCAAATATGTCTGATCAACGACAACAACAAAACCAGCACTTTTTTGCAAAAGTTGCACGTTTCGTTAACTTTCCTCTTATATAATAACCGACAACAAAGTGCATTGTTTCTGTTTGCAAGCATGAAAGATCTGCAACAGCACGAACGCATCCGTAGCAGGATTTGGCAATTTGCAAGTCCAGAATTCCTGTGGATTTTCGGAAGAATATCCACATTACGCCATCAGGGAAAACATAACGTGTGGGCATTGTTTGCTTATTATAATTAGATGCTTTTAGAAATGTATGTGCACAACGTTGCGTAAGCACCGGCTAAGGCACGATCCGCCTGCATGGGAAAAATTGTTTTATTAGCTTTATCTTGTGTCATAACTCGGCAATTTAATAATTTAATAACAGTATAAGACTGTTAGATAAACTAGAAACAAAAGTGTGTAATCTGTATTGTTTTGGCCCATGGGGTTTGGGCAGCAGGCGACTGCTGAAATTGATTGATAATTTAGACAATGTTCAGATTTTTTCAATTTTCTCGGTTTTAGTAAGGCAACAATGCTTCGTATTTTATGAGCGAAAAAATTTTCAAAAATTTCCCTTCTTCTTTCAAAAAAACCTTCTTCAATTCACCCTGGGCGATCACTTTTCCTCAATTCTTGGGATTTTTTCCAGTTTAGGGGCTGAAAAGCCAATTCGACTTAGGATTTTGGAAGACTATTTTTCAAAAATTCGTCACTGCAAACCAGGATGAGCTAGAGAACCGCTTTTAGAGCTTTTCGGTAGACGAAGGTATGCTCTATTATTCCTTTAGGTATCAAATTACTGTCACATTTTCTCAATTTTTGGCAATTTTTCAAGTTTGAAGCTTAAAAGTGCAGTTTACTGTCCAGTCCGTTTGGACACGATTTGTGTCCCTCAAAGCCGCGTTTGTCTGAAGACTTTCTTCCAGGAGCACTCAATATGTATGTATTTATGAAAATGTTCAATTGTTTTCCAGTTTGGGTAAAAATTCAATTTGGCTTTCCGCACTTTTTTACTTCCGCAAATTTCTACCTTAAAAGTGAGACTATTAAGATGGCTTTTTAAGCACCACTCAACAGAATACAGTGGGTTCTATCAAAGAAGCGAATCTTTGTGCGACTTAGTGTCACTTTCCGAAAATTTTCGGCAATTTTTCCGTTTGTGAAGCTTAAAAATGTGTTATATTAAGGCATTTTTCTACTTTTCTTAACATTGACTAGCAAAACACTGTTTTTCTTGAGCGAAAGTTTGGATTTGTATTTTTTAGTATGCGGAGGTTTGTAACACAGTTTTTTGCAAGGCATTGTTGAGAAGAGAAAAGTTTAAAAATGCCTTAATAAAGCAGGAAACATCAATCGATCCAAAATGCTCTGAATTATTTGTCAATGAAGCACTTTTGTTGTACAAACCGTGAAAATATACTTCGGCGCTCCTCTTAATTCCATCAAGCATTTTGCATAAAATCACGATAAAAGTATGTGTAAGTGTATCGTGCATAAATTCAAAATATCTCACTTTTAACAGACTGAATAAGGAACTAATAACGAACTTATGCAACTGAAAATCCAATCAATCGATATGTGATTAGAAAGTCACTAAAAATCAACTTTTTGTGTAAACCGCGCGTGATTTCAACGAGCGAAAAATGCAAAAACCCCTAATCAGTTTCCGCTCGCTTAACACTCGTAATCTCTTCATTTCGGAACGGTTAAAAAAACATAAACATCGCTGATGAAACCATCGATTGGTAATCGATTGACGAAAATTATGAATAACGGTGTATTTGAAAAATCGATTATCAATTGCCAATTGGATTGAAACATTGATTTTGGCCACAGTTTGGCAAATATGAACGAATGACTAAACGGCTGAATGAAGCAAACCAAAGAATGGTTTGGCGTGAAGAACTAGAATCCGCACCTCAAGAAGGAATTGGGAGAAAGTCAAAAGGCAAAGAACTTAACCTTTGATATTCACCTGATCGAAAGAAGAAAGCTGTGCTCTAATCTTACACGATTATCACTGCGAAATTCCTTGGGTTTAGGTGTTTGGGAATCAAAGAAAACTGTTATTATTAGGCAAAAGCAGATGATGTAAATATTCGCTTTCCCCAAAGATCATCATTCCGGCATCCGCGACACCTTGAAATTAGCATATTTGCGGTAACATCGTCAGAAATTATGGAATTTTCACAATGAACCTGCCGACGTAATGTGGTAATACTTTCTTTTTACACGCCGACTTGAAAGAGAAATGTTCAGCACACACAAACCTGATCTTCGCCGCCTAACTCTCATTTGCCTAAGAAAATAAAACTGCGTTTTGCCACTGATCAATTGCCTCTAATCTATTGTTTTCTTTGCCACATAATTGGCCAGATTCGTGAAAGTCATATAGCCATGATTGATAAATAATCGCTGAAAAATGAGTGGAAGTGAAAAAACTTCGGATATGATCTGGTAAACGGGAAATGGCTTGCCTTAATGCAACAATTGAATGGTAGATTAGCCAGTAGATCATGAAATGCAGTGGATTTAAGGCCAAATGCACTTCGATTAGGAAACATGTAAGAAATGTGTGTGGTTTAGTGTGGGAAAAATTCGAGAAATCGAGCAAAAGCCGTGAAATATACGTAGACAGTAAATAATCAGTTTCACTGAGCAACTGTGTAATTACCAGGTTTTGTCAGATTTTATTCTGCATTATTTTTGCTCAGGCGGCTCGAAATAGAAATTCCTACTAATTAAAACCGCTCAGCTAATGAGGGCGGATTAACTCGAAGAGAAACGAAGCTGTTCACGTTCATATCTAAGAGGAAGGACGTTTTCCTTATTACTATCAATGTCTTTGCTTTGCTTTGCTTTAATCGAAAAAACGACCAAGCAAAGAGTCGCAATCAGTAACTGGTTAATGAGAGCGATAATTACTCGAGCATTACCAGGCCAGAAGTCTTGCCAAAGATTGCGATTTATTTGCTTTTACGTTATTTAGTTCATTAGTTCATTCATTGTTTAAGAACGCTCGATTCGATGCTAAATGTTTACGTAAATATCATCATTATGTGAGAACGGCGCATTTCACTATTTGACTAGCATGATGATGAGTCCATTGAGTCTAGCTAAAATATTCATCAAAAATTCATCTGACTCTTCGCAACTTTCATTGAGTCGCCGAAGAAGAACGTGAAAACAGTGGTTTTTCGGCATTTTAACTCATCGTGGAAACGAGTTTCCTCCTGCCGTTTCACAACCACACGCCGCTTAGGTCTTCAGAGGTATATTCGCTCCCGAAAGAAGTAGATTGATTGCCAAAAATTGAGAAAAAGTAGCTGAAAAGTAGTATTCCATAGCGGACCTTCCGCTACTGAATAGTTCTAAAAGGGGCCCTTTAGCGCAAGTTGGTTTTTAGCGGAAACTTTTTGAAAAATATTTTCTAAACGACCTGGAAGCCTAACTGCATTTTGAAGCCCTAAACTTTAAAATTTCCCAACAAGAATAAATCACCACTTCAGGGTCAATAGGAGAACATTTTCTCTGTTAACTGGTGCTAAAGGAAGTCATTGAAGGACGGAAAGGATGGAGAGAGATCAATTTTTGAAAAACCTCTTCTGAAAATGATGAACTCATAGAGCACTTGCATGTTTCAAATTTCAAACAATTGCCAAAAATTGAGGAAAAGCGAAAGACAACCAACCCTTGCAGAGCGAATAGAGCCAAGCTTCCTCCGTCTAAAAAAAGAAAATATCTTCGATTTTAGAGCGATTTGAACCAATTCTGCTCTTCGAATTCAAATTTTAGAGCCTTCAAATGCTGAAACCCCCGGTTATTGCAGCGATTTGACTGGCAAAAATTCCACTTCGATTGAGCTGAACTGCGCTTTTGAGATGTTTTAAGTTTAACTGTCTTCTAAATACCTCAAACATTTTGAGTCGCTACCGACTTTAGATTGAGAAATATACACTTTTGCCCAACAGTGTGCAGTTGAGTAAAAGTATGCATTTTTGGACTGAAATTTTCTAAACTCGCAAAAATTCTACTTGGATCGAGCTTAACTGCGCTTTTGAGATGTTTTACGTTTAACTGTCTACTAAATACCTCAAAAATTTTGAGTCGCTACCGACGTTGGGATGGGAAATATACACTTTTGCCCGACAGATTGAAGTTGAGTAAAAGTATGCATTTTTCGACTGAAATTTTCTAAACTGGCAAAAATTCTACTTGGATCGAGCTTAACTGCGCTTTTGAGATGTTTTTCGTTTAACTCTCTTCTAAATACCTCAAACATTTTGAGTCGCTACCGACGTTGGGATGGGAAATATACACTTTTGCCCGACAGAGTGCAGTTGGTAAGTGAAAGTATGCATTTTTCGACTGAAATTTTCTAAACTGGCAAAAATTCGACTTTTTTCGAGTTTAACTGCACTTTTGAGATGTTCTACGTTTAACTG